TGCGGCAGAATTCGTGAGAATTTCTCTCGCTCCGCAGCCTAAGTGGTCGTAAAACTACGCGCGAGGCTGACGCGACTAAATCAGCCCGAGACCAATTGTTCTGCTATGCAATAGCAGATTGCTTTTTTGCTTCGCAAGTTTCGCTACACTGGCTGCACTAGCTCTCAAACTATGTGATGTAAACAATGAGCTGCAAATTAAACATGGCAGCAAAAGCGTCGGCGGTGGCTCGTATTGGCGCAATCGTGAACTGGCCACACAGCACAGCAAAGCTCACGACCTTGACAAGGACGGGTTCATCAAGAACCTGGTTTGCATCAGAATCGCTGCGAAGGGCGGATGTAGAAGATGCAGCAGAAGCAAGTCGGCATCCTTTAATGTGTCTTTTGTACTGCCGGCTGAATCCGTCGCTGCCACTAACAGAGCGTCCGCTCGTGTCGTTTCTCTGGCGTATCTCCCTAAAAAATGTTTGTGCAGAGTAAACTTTCTTTTCAGAGCTTTGAATGCATAACTAGAACTCGGTATGATTTTTGATGCTCAGGAAATGGGCAAAATGAAATGAATTCCCAATAAGCAAAGGCGGCGGCGGTAGGCAGAACGAATGTGAACATTTTTGATGGATGCGGACGTGGTTTTGCGGCGGCTCTGCCATTTTTGCTTGAATTTTTCCGGCTGAAATTTTTTTCGTGTTGACATCGCGGCACGTTTTTCCGGCTGGTTAAGCAGCGAAGGAAGTAAATTTCCAGTAAGTTTTTCCGCTTACCCTCCCTATGATGCAAAGTGTGAACGCGTCTATAGGTATATTCGCAGGACGTCAGCTTGGCGGGAGCAGTAGCGTAAAGTGCACCAGCTGTGTTGGCAACCGCGTGACCACCAAATTGAAGGCCATTATAAAGGTGGCTGGCGGTGTACCAGCAGTTGGGTCCGGCAGTTTCAACAGGTGCACACAAGTTACTGCGAGCACGTTGCTCTTGTTTTATTTTATCTGGATTTAGAAGTTACGAGACTTACCATTTGCGAAGCTGCTGCAGCCATGCGCGATGCGTGTTCGACTCACTTGAGCGTGTACGCTGAGAAATCGGACACCGATGCTAAATAGCAACACACAAACAAAGTGGCTTTCTGCAGTGTGCGTTCACCCAGTAATTCCGACGAGTGAGGAAGCCGCATTTGACAACAGACTTGTTTCGAAGGTGAAACTCCGAGACATAAAGGACTGCTTGATGCTTATAAGACAAGTTTTGTGACGCACGAATGACTCAAAGCCATGAAATCGTTGGATGCGTTACTAGTCGGTTTGTCCCTGAACCTTCCCTGAAAAGTCACGGTCACTGCGTCCCTGTGGGCACAAAATTAAGATAATCTGAAGTTATACTCTATCTGTAAGTGCTAAAGTCAAGTTTACCCAAGAATTTGATACTAGTGCGATGTTTTATGAATCTAGTTGAAGCGATGGGCTTAACAGCGCTTACAAACTTACACTTGAAAACACCATTACATGAGGCCGATTACATTGCCGTAAAGTGCACACGAGACTGAAATTTCGATGTGGTTGGCTTACCCCCAGCTTTGATCAATCAAACGAAAAGTATCAGGATCATTAAATTATTCAATAGACCAAGGTTAAAGCCACCTGTTCTTTGCCGCAAGCGAGCCAAGTCACTTTAGCAAGAAAAATAAAAGTGTGTGCCCCTCATTTAAGCTCGCAGTGTACAGCGCATGTATTAATATGAATATTCCAATGTTGAGTATTCTGCTGTGGTTGTGCTTTTCGCAGACGTCTCTGCCAGAGTACTGAAACCGCCTGCATTTACTGTGTTAGTGAGATTTCTTCATTTTCGTGTTTTGTTCGCGTCTGAATCACTCAAAGCTGCCAGAATCTGAAATCAACTGAGTTTCCATTCACAAGTGAACCACTCTCAAGCACTCACCCCACAGCCTTGTTAAAATGAGCCTGGCGAAGACGGCTGAATCACTCGCCACGACGCTTCGCCGCAACCTGCAGCGTACGGCTACAGGACTGTGAATACTGTTTGGCAAGGAATAAAATTCACCTGCTTTTACATTTTCACCCTCGTCACCCTTCCATTTTGCGCGATGTCTGCACACAAATACAACACAATGAAGGGTGATAACAGATGATGGACGCGAAAAACGGCTCAATTTTAGTATCACGCAGAGGCACACACATATGTATATGGCCCTAGTCATGGCTGCCGGAAGTAGTGCGTTTTTCGCATTGTCCGCATGCTGTGCGGATAGCCGAAGCGTAAGCTGCGGCAGCACAGGATTGCTCAGAGGTGAATACTGCCTATAGCACCAGCAGCGTTAGTGAAGAAACTGCAGCACTTAATTATTTAGAGGTGGTGAAGGCGGAAAAGTTCAAAAGAACACCATGGACATTTTCAGCAAGTAGTTGACACCAATAAATTTTTTTTCACCTTCATGATCAGCTTTAACTTGTTTTTGGTTTATACAAATTCGAAATGACACAAATAAATTGCATGACCCTTTGAATTCGCATTATCGAGATTGTACTCACAACCAAATCTAGTGGCAAAGCTGATGTGATGAATACTTTTATTCCATATTCTCTACAGCCGAAAATGGCATCTGGTTATTTGGGCCATCAAATTTTAATGAAAACTTTATATCTGTTGAGGGTGTTTTTTCTTCTTCACTGAACCTTAAAGAAAGATCTTCAGGCGGCCCAGACAACATTCCCAAAGCTTTCTTGCACCGGTAAGCCAAGCCTGTGTCTTACACTCTCACTGCGATTTTTGTTCCTGTTGAAAGCTAGCTATCATTCCAGATGATTGGCGTAGTCGTTCGTGTAGTGGCACTTCACAAGAAAGGAGACCGCTTAAAAAAGGAAAAGGACCACCTGATATCCCTGATGTCATCCTGCTGCAAAATACTTGAACACATACTCATACATTTCATAACCGAATTTCTCGAATGAAATAAACTGCTTTCTCATCACCAGCATGGCTTTCATAAAAGCCTTTCAACAATCACACAGTTTACTACTACTATTCCTGAGACCGCTTTAACCCTCGGCTTGACCGGTCAGATTGATTTATATTTTTGGATTTCAGCAAAGCTTTTGACCCTGTTTCCCACAGGAACAAACTTCACAAACTTCGTATGCCATTTTTGATTCAAAATTGAATCAAATAGTAATTGTCCAACTGAACTCAAGTTTGTTGATGTTGACAGGTGCTCATCTACGTACCTGCCAGTTACATCTGGGGTGCCTCAGGGAAGCGTTGGGACCAATTCTTTTTCTTTTGTATGTGAACGATATTACCGTAGCTGTGTGCCCTGATGGTCAAATTGGGCTGTTTTATCGATGATTGTTTGATTTTCAATGAAATAACTAGTGAAAATGACCAATTTGCTAAGGCACGTTGCCTGGCTAGCTGGTTGGGGTTCATCATTTATATGGGTATAGCGCACCATGACAAGGACAGAAAAAAAGAGACACACACGGCGCTGTGTGTGTGTCTCTTTTTGTGTCCTTGTCGTGGTGCGCTATACCCATATAAATGAAAAATAACCTAATTTCTTTGAACACCAGACCAGCAAAAACTCAGGAGTGGTGCACAACATGGTCAATGTCCCTGAATTTCAAGAAAACTATGCCGCTACGCGTAAGTAATAAAAAGACCTTTCTTATACACATATAAAATTAGTAATGACACTGTCGCAGAAGCCACAGAGTACACATACAGTTGAACCCCTTTATAAGAGACACTGATATAAGAGACAAATGGATATAAGAGACACCAGTGTGCCTACAATACAATGCGGGTGGATAGGAAAATGCATGCGAGGTACCCTGCTTCTAAGAGACATCTCATGTAACAGGCAAGAATTGCTGCCTGGAGCATGCCTCCTATAAAGGGATTTAACTGTGTTTGGGATTGACAATGTCCAAAAAACTTACATGGTCCTTCCACATCGAAATCTGCATAGCAGCTACTCGCAGTTTTGGCTTACTCGGGCACAAACTAAAAAACCCCGATGCAATGCTTCTCACCTAGAAAACCTATGTTTTGCCTAAAGTTGAATATGCGAGTGTAGTTTGGGATCCCCACTACAAAAAAAGATATGCACAGGCTCGAGATGGTACAGAGGCAGGCAGTACGTTGAAAGAAAAATTCACCGTCATCTCTAATGCTTGCAAATAAGATTCCAACCTTAGGGCAACACAGAAAAATACCAGAACAAATTTGTATATTTGCTTTGTCACATCAGACTTGATGCAAATGTGCGCGCGCATATCTTGAGCCATTTTTGTTGCGCATGCCGAAAAATCGACATGCACATAATCTACTTTTTTATTGAACACGCACTACTTTTTTCAAGTTTTCTTATTTTCCACAAACTGATGGATTGGAGTTAGAATTTACTGCCTAAAAATATTTTTTCTTAGGATCTGCAAGAACATTTGAAAGTGTGCTACTTACCCATTTAGAAATGCAAAAAACTACTGAGTGTTTATGTGACTTTATTTTTTTCTCTCCGCTTTTTATTTTGCGTTTCATCTTTTTTTTACTGTTTTTTTTTCATGCAGTGTTACTTCATAGATAGCAAATCCTCTATTTACACACCCATTTAGGGGAGAACTTTTTTTTTTCTCTACAATTGCCATTGTCATATGTTTTGCACTCGATTATGGGAGTTTTTAGAGTGGAAAGGTGAGGATGTGTTTTTTTTTTCTTATATATGAGTCACTCTCCTGTGAAAATGTATTATTTTGTGTTCTAGTTAGGTTGTGCTGGCTTTTTCTTTCTTTTTTTGTTTTCGTAATACTTCTAGATATGCCGGTAGATTTGCTTTGCTCACTCTTCTGTGAGCTCATGTGGCCCATGAATCTCCCTGTGCTTGTAAACTTGCAACTGTGTAAATTTCCACCTGCATGTTCCTTTCTGACTGCAGTATACTGTAAATAAATGTATATAAACATCGTGTCTTTATCTGAACTCCATCTCTAGTTGGCTGAGCACCCAGGCCCTGACCAATATCTCACAGAGGACTGACCAGTGAATGGCTCCAGGTCCAGGGGGCACTGATGGGCCAGGGTGGTGGCCAGGTGGCAGCACCCTGCCTTGGTGCCCAACCCGACTGCAGACTTGCTCTGCTCCACCAGGCGGGGCACCAGCTCCGGCAGCACCGAAGCATCCACAAACTGCACACACTTCACAGCAGAAAAGAATGAGTGATTCACCATGAGAAGACCTTTCAATAAACTGTTTGCTGCAAAGAGTTGTCATGCTTGATTCCAGAATAAGTAAAGCTATGACTGACCGATTGGTTATTCTGTAACTAGAGCAGGAGCAAGAACAGTTATATGAACACACGAGCTCGCACTATTGCATGCGCAGGTGTGAGGCTTCAAGGCTGCGAAAAGGTACAACGATACAAAACTCAATGCCAGGCGTTAGCTGTATGCAGCAGAACCTGACAATAAAACCATCTTCCACACAAACTACAAATTATTTATTTGATGTTCACTAAACAGTGCAAGTAAAGACAACAGCTTTGATTTGAGGAGTGCAAATAGCAATATTTTTGGTATTGATCAAAATTTAGCAAAAAAAGAAGTTGTAGAGTACTGCTAGGCATATTCTTGTTAGACATAGCGATATGAAAGTGTTTATTTTCACTAGATTCATGAAGCGCTGACGGAGTTTATTTCGCAGTAGTCTTGATGAGAATGAGGCAATGCAGAGGCCGAAATGTATTCATACATGATTAGGTGAAACCGAAGTGTTGCGCCAACACAACACGTGAGTGGCGAGAATGCAATTTCTCCAGCCTCTTTTCCTCTTTTAACTGATGTGGCAGACGAGGTTGTGCTCTCTTGGAGTTAGGAAGTTCCAAATCTGCTTCGCAGATGTCAACTTACATGAACATTCTGAACTGTGGATGCTAGAAATCTTCAGCATTCGATTTTTTAAACTTCCTGTCTACATCTCAGGTACAAAACAGCTTTTTTTATTTAGTTACTTTTTGCGAGGTGCCTTGTAGCATACCTACCAAGTTCAAGGATTCTGAATCTGGAAGATTTCCGAAACGGGAGGAGGGGGGGCTGACTTATTTGCTTTTACTTTTTTCGGCACCAAAAAAAAAAAAACTAAAGACGTCTAGAAAAACAAGAGAGGGTGAGGTGTCTCAACCACAAGCACCAACATCAGCATTGCAGTCTTATAGTGGCTTGGGGTGGCCGAACACAAGGGTAGGGTTTCCCACTAAAGTGAAAGTCTCAAAGGATCAACACAACTAACAGAATCTATTTCCGTCAAAACAACTCGTGTATGTCTTCCTGGAACACATGTGAATGAACAGGACGACGCAGCTGGCTGCCGCAAAAGCACGAGTCAAAGCTTTGCTCACTACTAGATTTTTTCGACAGGAACGCCAAAATGTGTCTGGCCCCTTTTATTTATTACGATAGCAATTATATGGACAGTCTAGGCTGGCTTTCTTGCCGTCACTGCTGTCATTCACCGTATATATATATATATACGTATATGTATATATTTTGAACACTCAGAAAAGAAAAAAAAAAAAAAAACAGCTCGTCGCGATGCACCAACGCATGCTTATCTTTCGCACATACTTTGCAGCACGGTTGGAGGGGGGGCGGATTTAGATGCTTGTGCATGCGCGCTTATCCTTTGGCGGAGAGAATCGTGAGCCTACGTCTTTCACTGGAGCGACTTCATTAGTTGCTGGGCCCACAAAGGTCCCTTCGGTCTTTGCACAGGCTCCCTTTGCAAAATGATGATGTGTGGTGTTTTATGGCGCAAGGGCCAATTGATGGCCAAAGAGCGCCATTTCAATGAGTATAGAGATGTGCACAATGATATGTTGCGTGGCTGTATAGGGGCCTTAAAATTCCTCGCGATAATGCGGGTAAAAACATAAGTATTAAAGACATGACAGTGGCGTGATATGCATATTAAAAAGGGTGACAAAGGTTTTGATAATAAAAACGTAAAAATATTTGGCACTAGCACACTTGCCTCATCAGTGCCCTTGTGTCCAAGGGCTGCGAGGCAAGTGCTTTTAAATGTAATCTCAGCAGCAGCGACCTCTCTTGAGAGGTCACGCTACGCAATGCCTGGGTATAATACATGGTAAAATTAACATCTCTTAAAAAAGCTAACAATGATTTATGGGTGAAAAGTGGTTCCCTACCGACAAACATTGCAGGGTGTAAAGGTATATGTTGTCGGTAGGGTAATGGGAAGTGTTGTCTTCTTAGAGTGTCTAACTGTTTACATTGGATTAAAACGTGAAGAACTGTTAAAGCCTCACCACATTTATCACACAATGGTGGATCACCACCGGATAAAAGATGTGTGTGTGTCGTGTATGTGTGCCCTATCCTGAGTCTTGTTAGTGTTACCTCTGTTAGACGTGATTTTGATACTGGTGGCCAATGGCCAAGGTGTGGCTTGATAACGTGTAGTTTGTTTTGTGTGTGTGTATCCCACTTGCTCTGCCAGTAGTCCCTGAGGTTTCGTTTGAGAGACGCCTTAAGATCAAGGACCGGGATTGATATGGATGTAGGGGCAGTGCTTTTGTGGACGGATGCAGCGAGCTGATCCGCCCTCACGTTGCCTTGGATCTCACGGTGCCCTGGCACCCAGCACACTACAACATGTTGTTTCTGCGTGTAAAGTGTGCACGAAATGGAGTAAAGTGAGACAAGGACTGGGTTTTTTTGTTTTTTAAGACTGTGCAGAGCCGTTACCACACTGAGGGAGTCTGTATAAATTACTGCTTTTTGTATTTGTAGTTGTTTGATGTGTTTAGCTGCCACCAGTATCGCGTAAGCTTCCGCTGTGAAGATACTTGTGCGTGGATGTAGAGGGCCAGCATCCGAAAAGGATGGGCCGACAGCAGCGTAGGACACAGAGGAGTTAGTCTTGGAGGCATCTGTGAAGAACTCAGGACATGTGTATTTGTGTTGAAGTTCCAGAAAGTATGTTCGGATATGGGCAATAGGTGCATGTTTTGTAACCTCTAGGAAAGACACATCGCAGTCTATATTCTGCCACTGCCACGGTGGCGGGTATGCTACAGGAGCCATTAAACTGTGTTCAAGTGACACTTCAGTTTCTTCAGCTAGACACTTCAGGCGAATTGAGAAGGGCTGCCTTATCGAAGGCCTGTTTTGAAACAGAGTTGAGCTCGACAAATCATTAATTGTAGAGTATGAGGGGTGCTTCTTGTCTGCTTTCACCTTAAGGAAATAAACAAAGGACATGTAAGTTCTCTGCAGATGAAGCGACCACTCATTTGACTCAACATAAAGGCTTTCTACGGGGCTGGTGCGAAAAGCACCCGTAGAAAGGCGGATGCCCAAATGGTGCACGGGGTCAAGCATCTTCAAGGCACTTTAAGTGGCAGACTGATAGACAACGGCCCCGTAATCTAAGCGGGTGCGGATGAGGCTTTTATAGAGGTTCATGAGGCATTGCCTATCACTACCCCACGTAGTACGTGACAACACTTTTATAACATTCATGGCTTTTAAACATTTTGTTTTTAAATACTTGATGTACGGTACGAAGGTCAACTTGTTGTCCAAGATTAAGCCTAAGAATTTATGCTCGGCACGACCGTTTGGAGACCTTATTTAAACCCAGCTGAACCTGCCGCTCACACATGGCCAAGTTGCATGACTTGAAGCCAAACTGAACGTCGTCGACATATGTACAATAGAACATATTGCGGGGAATGGACAAGTGCAAAGAATTCATTTTGATAATAAAAAGTGTGCAACTAAGCACGCCACCTTGTGGCACGCCTGTTTTCTGGACAAATGTTTGAGAGAGCACACTGCCCAGACGGACACGGAATGTCCGGTTTGACAGGTAACTCTCGATTATATGAAACATTCTTCCGCGCACACCAAGGTGGGACAGGTCTCTTAGAATTCCGAAACGCCATGTTGTATCATACGCCTTTTCGATATCGAGGAACACAGAGAGAAAATATTGTTTATGGACAAAGGCGTCTCTGATCTATGCCTCGATACGAACAAGGTGGTCTGTGGTGGATCTACTTTCTCGAAACCCGCACTGAAATGGGTCGAGGAAATTGTTTGTTTCAAGGATATGTACAAGTCGGCAGTTTATCATTTTTTCGAATACTTTGCACAAGCAGCTTGTAAGTGCAATAGGCCTATAACTTGAAGCTAAAGAAGGGTCCTTGCCCTCTTTCAAAATGGGAATAATAAGAGCCTCTTTCCAGGAGGTAGGGATAGTGCCAGAAAACCAGAGAGCATTGTACAAACAAAGTAAGGTTTTTCGTGTTTCAGCTGGTAGGTTTTTTAGCATTTCATACACCACACGGTCAGAACCTGGGGCAGAAGTGCTGCAGGAGTTTAGAGATGTTCGGAGCTCCGCTAGACTGAAAGCTTGATTATATGCCTCGTATCTAGTGGATTTGTGTTCGAGTTTCTGCTTTTCTATTCTTGTTCTGTATTTTTGGAAAGTGTCAGTATAGTGGGACGAGCTGGACACCCGTTCAAAATGTGCCCCGAGGAAGTTTGCCTGATCTTCCAAGGTATCACCTTGAGTGTTTACGAGTGGAAGTGTGTGTACTTGTTTCCCTGCTATCCTACCGACCATGTTCCAGACTTTTGCCTCCTGTGTGTATGAATTGATCCCTGACAAAAACTTCTGCCAGCTTTCTCTTCTGGCCTGCCGACGCGTTCTCCTTCCTTGAGACTTTATTTTCTTGAACGTGTCAAGATTTTCCGCTGTTGGCGAGTTGCGCAGCAATCTCCATGCCCTGTTCTGTTCCTTTCGCGCATTACGACACTCCGTGTTCCACCATGGGACGTGTCGTTTGCCGGGCATTCCAGATGTTTGTGGTATGCACCTGGCTCCTGCGTCAGTTAGAAAAGCTGTGAAGTACTTCACAGCTTCATCTATGCCTAATCCGCATATTTCGGTCCAATTTAAGTGAGTAATTTTTTGAAATTGTTCCCAGTCAGCGTTGTTTATCAGCCATTTGGGAACATGTGGAGGACATTCATGTATTATTGGTGTACTCAAAAGCAAAGGAAAATGGTCACTTCCGTATGGGTTATTTATGACTTTCCACTGAAGTAATGGTACAAGTGAAGGAGATGCGATACTGAGGTCTATGGAGGAGTAAGTATTGTTTGCAAGGTTA